GTGCATATGAAACACAATCAGTCTTCAATCTTGTTCCCATCTTGTAATTTTACGGTCACGAATATCCCTGAATAAGGTTTTTAACAAACATATCAATGTGATCATTTTTCTTATCAGTAAGTCATCGCTGTGACACTTGTTAACTTTGCAGCGGGGATCTCATGCAGAATTGAATGTAACTGAGTGGAAAGGATCAAAAGTCAGAGTAAAGACAAAACAGAGGCAAAGTACAAAATGAGTGACATGGGAGAAGAATACAAAGGTGAACTAGAACTGAGGATAAATGTTGAATGAAGGGTGTGCTATTTGAAATCCCTAATAGAAACAAAGAATCTTAGCTGAGTTAAGATAGTTTTTCCCGGATTGAGAGTTTTAGTTACAAAACTCATGGAAATGGAAATCAATCTTTCAGGCGTTGGTTGGGCTGGAAACTGTTCGCAAACTAAAACAACTGTGTCGAGAAAAAGGTTATACCTTTGATACTTCAGCTGATGTTACATTCGCTAATGTCGTGCCGCAAATCATTTCTGAACAGCTAAAGGCTGTCAGATTTAATTTTAGATCGAGCGCCAATTGTTAACACACCCTCCAGCAATCGGAATAGATCACCTGTTCCGGGCATCACTGTTCTTTAGCCGTTGGATGAAGGAGAAGGTCACAAAGATGCGGTGCATTCTAGAAAGGTTATCCAGCCATGCTAAAGGAATAACACGCCAGGCTGAACCCAGAATAAGTAAGGCATTTTTTAGAACAGTTTTCCAGCCAACCTGTTTTTCAGGTTTTCTTTTCTAAAAATTATTATTTCGAGGAAGTTTTCCAAACTGTTGCTGAGCGTCGGTCCAGTCAAACTGCTGAAATGGCACGTGCACAGCACGTACGTTGTTCAAGATCTTCTTTAAATTTGTGGTTTGCTTGCAGAGACTTCATGAGGTAGCCTTCTTTGTTACCTATGGTGTGCTAGGGAAGACAAATAAGCAGTTGTCACAAAGAATAACTTCTTACTAACTCAGCGCGAGGGCCGCACTGAGGATTATAGGCCCGAAATCGTGGCTGTAGGGAACGAGTGCAGCAAGGTCCGTATACGACTGAGGGCCAATGTTCCCCAATACAGCTCGAGCCAGTGATTTTACTAGAAGGTCGAGACAGCAGAAAGCAAATCGTTATCTTTACTAGGTATGTTATTATATGGCACTCGGGGAAACATTTTTCAGTATTTGATTTTTAATTTTCTGGCTTTCGCGAACAAAAATGCACGGCTTGTGATAGTTTCCGTGGAACGGTCCGTAAGGCAAAATCCCGACCAAGTAAGAACTGATCAGAACGCTCGGATTTACCACAAGACTGTTGTGCCATATAGTAAGCTGTTGTAACCTTCACGCTCGAGGTATTTCCATCGAAATTTTATTTTCTCACTGAGTTTTTTTGTTTGAAAATACATGTCCTTGCAATCTTTTTACCTCGTGCCTACGTTTATCTGCTCAAAATTAATTGTAGAGGAGTCACCCGTCTTCTTTTATGTAGGCCTGGTCGTTAACTCAATCGAATTATTTTTGCTTAGCATACTAATTGACAATTTTGTTTTTAGATTTTGACGTTCAAAAAATGTTGAATCTGTGTCAATGACGTTATACACCGATTAATTC